TAAGACATATGCTACAACAATTCTGTGGCCCTAAAACATTCCCAGTTTACTCCCAAATTCCTCAGACAAAAAAAGGGAACATTTTCAGAGTACAAACATGTACTTTCCAGAGTGAAATGGTTAAATATCGCAGCCAATTCAGAAATAGCACCAACTGGCTCTTTTTTTTTTTTTTTTAAAGCAAGACCAGATTTAATTCTATTCTGTATTCACATGCACACAAATATACTTCCCTCGAGCTGTCAGAAAGCATCAGATTGCCTAATCTGCATGATGAATTTTAAAATCTTCTGAGAAACACAAGGACATTTGCTTCAGGCACTATGATTTCATCATCACCATCATAAACAAGTATAAAGCCAGTCAACCTTTGGTATTCAAACCAAAGCCAAAAGATTATGGGGCTTTGAAAACGATTAGTAGAATTTGAATCACCTCAATTTCATTTGGATCCATTTTTGAAGTCATGATATTTTGCAGTTAGGCAATCATCTATCTATTGCCTGTGACTACTCCTAGGTTACCCCAAAATAAGGATGTAATTCTTATCAAGAGGTTTATAAAACATGCAAATATTCTATGAAATATTTGTAAAGAAATTACATCATCAGATGAAAATATTCTGATCACTAATGTGAAGATAGTGTCTTTAAAATTTAATAGCAACTCTCATTCTTATACTCGTGAAATACAGCTACCCAATCAATTCTACCTATAGACATTCTGAGTAAATAATGGATGTAGAAAATTGGAAGATTTGCTATGATATATTTTGGATCCCATCCTACTAGGGCTTTATCACTTCTATACTGTGAGAAATAGTACCATTAACCCCACGAGGAACTACCTTTACATTCTGTTTTTTCATGGTTGCTAACTGAGAGTTAAAACCACAAGCAGTAAGCATTGTTTTTCTAGATTCACTATGACAGTGATATATAAAAACGTATTTGAAATTCAGACCAATTGTGCTTAAGTTTAAAGCCAAATTTAAGTTTTTCAGGGCTTAAAACAAACAAGCAAATATAAAAGCCAATTCTGTACCTAGGCAGCAAAATGGAATATAATTACTGCATTCAGCCAGAAGCTGTGACTAAGTGAGTCTAATCGAAATGCAAGGTAAGTGGGTTTCTGAAGTCTTGAATTATTGAACAAGTAATGTAGGGTCCTGGAGTTCAAGGGATGGAAAGATATCATTATCTTTTTTTTTTTTTTCCTAGGGAGTCCAGGATGCCCATTCACCCCTCTGGCAAAAGTGGAATGTACAAAGGTTTTACTTTTAAGGTAAATGAAATAACCCTCTATTTGCTAGCTGCTGTTAAAGATGCACACTGCATACTTCATCTCATCTTCTTTTCATTGTTGCATTTTCACATTATCACAAGTAGCATTATGTCACCAAGACAAACCAATTTCCTTCACGGAAATGTAAAACAACATGTTTGCTCTAAGATATTTCCATCAATGTCAGTGACATACAAGGGAAGTCTCAACAGTCTGCCCTGTCACTTACTTACAGAAAAGGGGAAGGGAAAGTGCTCATTCCCACTCAAATTGAATTCTCTGTCCACTATTTCTTTTGCTCATTGAATTTATTCATAAAACTCATCAATGACACTATATTACATCCAAGAGATACTAGCACTTTCACTAGAAACCAACTGAAAAGGAAAAAAAAAAAAAAAGACAAGAGATGAAATGCCAATTGCCCTTTCACCAAAAGACTCATTCCATTTCTAAGAGGAGCTGGCACAAAAGCTAAACCACTATCTCTCTCTTGGTGATTTGGGTCTGACTTAGTATTCAGTGATAAAACAGACCCACCAGAGAGCAGCAGCATCAGTCTTATTGAAAGGTAGACCCTAAGGTTCTACAATAAAGTCCTCTGCCAATAGCTGACATGTGGATTCTTCTCTAGTTACTCTCACTGGGCCTCAGTCTCCACATCTGTAAAAATAAGAAACAGTCTAGATGTTCTCAAAGGTCCTAGTATACCTAACATTCTTTGAATTCAAAATGACGTTGATTCCTTACTGTTGTTTTGGTCTTATTCCATTACATTGTGTTGGATCCTCTCAAAAGAAATTAAAATGGGTTTTCTTCCTTCACTTGCCCAATTTTATGAAATAACAGTAAGCTTTATATTGATGATTAAGCTAAGAATCTCACAATAACAGGAAACCATCCATAGGTCATATTTTCCAACCATTCTTTCTTAACCTCCTCCCCACTGTTCATCTCAAGTCATGGTTCTGATCATGCATTCAATTACAAGTTGTCCAGTGATGCACACCATCTCCTTACATCAGCAAACATTTCCCTCAAAACCCTTGAAGATTCACTAAGAAGAGTACATTAGCAACAGTGCTCAAGGCAGTTAATGAAACTTTTGAAGCTACTTTCTTCATCAGCCTGACTTCTCCTCCTGGAGCCTCCTCCTCCACAGACTTTCACAATGGGGATGAATGAGAAAACTGCTGAACAGATGTCCAAATAGTTTATTTTATCCAAATAAAACCACTCTCCCCTAAACTTTTCCCTTTCTGGGGTGCTCAGGTGCTCATATCAAGTGCCTGACCTATAATTTTTCAAACTCCTCAAAGCCACCAGAACATCACTTTCATCTGGAAAGCATCTTGAGCCACAACTGTAAGATCTGATGGTATTTAAATGAACATTATAGGTACTTTGTGAACTCACAAGCTATAGAAATCAATAGATGTCTTGCATAGAGTGTCCTACAATTGATTTTTCCAGGAGAGAGTCAATTTGTAACTTTAGGAGAGACATAGACACCAGGGAGGTTGAAAGCATATTGAAGGTTTAAAAACAACAACACAGGCATGTGGAAATTGCTGCCCTAGTGAGGTGGTATCTCAAAGAAAGAGAGTCTAGACTGATGATGTTTTTCAGGAGTGGCTAAAGGGAAAAAGTAAAATAATTCCAGGGAGCTCCTGCGGTGTTCTGGGGCTTGGAGAAGGAAAATTCTCCAAGGTACACATGCAGGGTATTCAATAGCATTCTTGAGGGTCTTGAATTTAAATATAGAGTAAGGATAAAGACGGCCAGTAGATTCGTCCTCTCTGGCTTTTAAAAACTGCCTGAAATTGTAAAAATAATGTACTGCCTACTTGAAATTTGCTAAGACATTAGGTCTCAAGTGTTCACCATTAATAATGAAAACTAACTATGTGAGGTAATGGAAATATTAATTAGCTTGATTGTGCTGATTATTTCACAATGCATACATGTAACACAATATCATATTATACACCTTAAATATGTACCGTGTTTATTGTCGAAGAAGGTAACTATTACAAAAAAGGAAAAAGTTATCTAATTTTAATCTAATCACTCAATAAAAAAGTCTAAGCGTCATTCAATGCTTAGTACTCTTCAGCAGTCTGGGTGACAGCAAGTTGTGTCAGTTGCTCAGAGGAAGGAGGTGAAAGGTTTATTTATAGATAAATCTCAAACAAACCTACCCCCAGACCCACTGACTCACAATAACCTTTCTGGATAACTAGAGAATCCCATTCTCAAAAGAGCTCTTGCTTTCTCCCTTCTCCCAAGTGTTCCTTTATCTCCTCCTCACTTTTTATACTTCCCACAAGTTCATAGAAGTATGAGTTTAGAGATAAACGATACAAAGGCTAAACAGTCTTATAAAATTATACCTATTTTTATTCTAAATGCTTCTAACAGGGATGAGGGAGAATTCATGAATATCAAACAAACTTCCAAATTCTTGGAAGTGGAGGAAAGATTATTAAAGATGGAGTTTCAGGGGTCATAGAGCCCTGATGCATGAACAGCAGTGTGAATTTGAAAAGGTTATTTTGGGAAGTTTGGTAAAAATCCCCAAACATAAATGCCTCAGAAGAATAATATAGAAAAAACTATTATGGAAAAAAAAAAACCCGTAAAACTTCTCTTTTCTGTTGGATAATTTGTACTTTTACTTCTGGAATGGAGCTTTAAAAGGAAGTTGATATCCATCATCTTCTGGGACTTTATTTGACCTTGTTTAGTTTTGCTTTGGATGATTAACTTCTAAAACTAATTTAGAGATCCCTCTTTCCTTAATGACGGGGATTGAATGGACACAGGGATGTTGGAAATTTTCACCTATTCCGAAATCAGTTACATGTGTATTAGTTACAAAGAAGGCAGGTTGGAAGCCTAGAATTTTAAGTTAGAACCTACTACCATACTAAGGCAAATATTCTTGTTCATATTAACTGCTTAGGAAGGTATATATGTGCAGAAAGTGGCACTTACTATAGGGCATGAACCTGGCCTCAAGTCTGAGGTTTATCAGTGTTCAAACAGTGACAGAAGCTGAGGGATTTCAAGGCTTTGATTTCATAGCAGCATTCTTCTAAAAAACAAACATCAGGGGTGCCTGGGTGGCTCAGTGGGTTAAAGCCTCTGCCTTTAGCTCAGGTCATGATCTCAGGGTCCCAGGATCGAGCCCCACATCAGGCTGTCTGCTCTGCGGGGAGCCTGCTTCCTCCTCTCTCTCTGCCTGCTTCTATGCCTACTTGTGATTTCTGTCTGTCAAATAAATAAATAAAATCTTTAAAATAAAATAAAAAAATAAAAACAAACATCATTTTCTCACCTAGGAAATAAATGTTTTATACTGAGTGCTGTTAATTCCATAACTCATTATCCAGTATTATTAGAAGTTCAAAAAAGCTCAACTGATCAGATTTCAAAAAGATGGATTTCAGAAAGCTGAAGACGCAGAGGAAATCATTTTCAATTGCTTGCCTTAAATTGGACTCATTTCTGCCTCTCAGAATCACTCCATAGAGATGAACAGAAGAATGCTACTGAGATTTAATTAACCAAAATGATATCACATTTTACAAATAAGTCTGATAGGACAAAAAACTTGGAGCAGATATAAGGCAGTGGATAAAGAGAGAAACTCTAGGAACCAACTGTCCAACACGATTTAGAGTACAGCCTGAAATAGAGCTTCAGATACTCACCAGTGAAAAGATTACAAGCGGACGGATTGACACTATCAACACTGTCAGCACCGTCACAGCTAAAAACTTCATCATCTGATTCCCGCACAGAGGAGTGGGGTGAGGAGCCGTCAATTTCTTCAAACTTCCCCTTTAAAATTCCTCTCATAGCTGCAATGCTGTCACATGTACCTGTAACAGGAATGGGAACAACAGAGCCCTGAGACGTTTGACCACGGCAGAGTCCAACTCTTCAAATCGTTTTCTGAGGCTGTAATTTTTTGAACTACATCTACCCCATTATCATATCTGTGCAGAAATTATTCCTCCCATAATGTTTGAGAGCGTTAAAAACAATCCTACCCTGATTCGTTGTTATTTGCATTCTCATTTCTGACAATGGCATTTTATAAGAAAAATTCCAAATTAAGAAGGTAGAATCAGGGCACTGCACAAGGAAATAGGGTTCACTGTTTTGAAACGTCAAAACAGGAGTCCATTACACTTATTTGATTTGTTCTAGCAAATCGTGTACTGTCATTGACAGAGCTAGAGTTCAGAACAAAATAGATCACTCACTTGCATGCTGTCATACCCAGAGCATACTGATTAGGGCATGTCTATCTTGCTTGGGATTTCTTTTTTCTCGGGTACAAAGGCATCTACTTTCCTGGGGCTCTTTGTCCATCAAAAATCAAATTGGTTGCTAGGAATGGCTGGCTATACCTGCAGAATTTAGATGCCTTATCATGTTTCTAGTCAATTCAGCAGAGCTGCAGGGAGTACCTGAGTCCTATGCCAAGGAGGTTTGGCTGAATAGATTTTAGGCAGAGTGAACCACAGTCCCTAAGTCTTTTACTGGATAAAATATTAATTTGAGACTGCTCACTCTCTGAAACAGCATGGTCAGTGAAAGCCAGTCAGAGGTAGCCTGATGTATTTAAAAATTTTGTTAATGTCAATTTAGATGAGTCATTAAACCTCCAAGAGTAATAATTTCTTCATAGCTACAGAGTAACTGTTAAGATGATCAGCGGTTCCTTTGGTGACAGATAACCTCGATGAGTAAAGAGGGTCAGATGTAATAAAATCATGAAGTCATTTCAGTCTTCTTTTTTATCTACTGTTACTTGTAACAAAGGTATCAAGAAATATTCCTCTACCCTACTGAGACAAGAAAATTAAAGGGAAACCATGAAAAACTGGGGTTTTTTTTGCTCCTTTTCCTGTTTCTATTCTTATTAGGACCTAACCCTCCACGTCACACATGCCTCATAGAACAGATAATGTATGTACTCCTTTACAAGGCCAAAGAGTTAATGTCAAAGAGTTAATGACTTCTTTGGAGTCTTCCAGCGTAGTAGAAAACATCTAACGAGGGGCCGGGCAGGGTTCTCCAAGACCACTAGCTCACCAAGATCCCTGGCTCTAGGTCATATGTGACTCTCGGAGTCACTTTTAAACCCTTTTCTTTGTTCCTGGATGCCTGAGAAGACATGTGCACCAGACCACCATTCCCAATAAAAACCCCAGGCCCCAAGCAAAGGCGAGACTCATTCTCCTGTCTTTCTGAGTCTCCCAGATGCTCTGCCTGTATGCGCCTTCTCTCTCCATAAACTCTGCTCTCCCTTCCTCTTTATGCACATTTGATCTCTATTCTGTAAGCCAAGGACCATCTTGGCTAGTCCTGCAGGACCCCTCTGGGTCCTCAGTCCCCACCAGCTCACATCACTCTGATAGCACAGGCACAATAATAAATGGCCTCCCAACCAACGAGAGAGCGGGTAGTAAGTAGCATGAATTGTGGTGAAGTCAGGATGCACAGCCAGGCTGAAGGGGGAAGCCACTACTCAGATCCAGTCATTTCAGCCCCACGCCTTCCCCGCTGAAGCTGCTCTAATACTTGGCCAGTGTCCCATTCACTTTCAGAAGCAGTCCTTACTTTTTACGTTTTACATTCCCCATCCCCCTTCCCCTTATTAATCTTGTTTATAAAATTAGAAGAGCAATTTTTAGATTACATTGTAATTTAAAGCCCAACTTGGACTGGCTCAGGAAGAATGACAAAGAATGGTTCAGGTAGGTGATACCAAAGTGCTCACAGACTACAAAATCAAAACATTCCCTTCTCCAGTCACCCGGCACAATACCAGAAATGCCTTTGCTAGAAAATATCAGCTGGAGGAACAAACTGATTTTACAAAAGACATTCCAGGACATATGCTACCAAGGAAAGGTAACATCTGAAGCCATTTTATCTCAGCATGGCAGGCCTATCTACGTCTTTTGGTAACGCGGGACAAGTCTAACTAGAGTAACTTTGGTAAAAATGTAGCGACCTTGGGACTAGCTACCCTCCTAGGGCCTCCCACTGACCTCACAGTCTCCTGTTGCAGTAGCAGCATCTCAGCAGATGCTTCTATAACGAACTAGTAACTATCTTACCATTCAATGATAAAATAAGAGCATAGGAAAAAAAAAAAAAAACACTTTAGAAAGGGCCTGCTTCCCCCCACCCCCGCCTCTCTGCCTACTTGTGATCTCTGTCAAATAAATAAATAAATAAATTTTAAAAATTAACGATAAAAAAGTAAGCTTTCCTTTATCACTCTACAGGAATATTTCTTTTAGTATGGCAGAAAAGAGAGAATAAATGGACAATGGTTATTATACATGGGAAAACAGAGACAAAGCGTTAATAACTATTTTATTCACCACCGTTTCTAAAGTTACTTTTTCAAGATTTTTTAAAAAGTCAGATATACAACCACCACCTGCTGCTGCAGGAATTATAAGACTCTGGATCTGTTTAAAAGTCAATCTCCAGGGGCGCCTGGGTGGCTCAGCAGGTTAAAGCCTCTGCCTTCAGCTCAGGTCATAATCCCAGGGTTCTGGGATCGAGTCCCGCATCGGGATCTCTGCTCAGCAGGGAGCCTGCTTCCTCCTCTCTCTCTCTGCCTGCCTCTCTGCCTACTTGTGATCTCTGTCTGTCAAATAAATAAATAAAATCTTAAAAAAAAAAAAAGTCAATCTCCAGCTTAAAAAGTCACACAGTAGCCTAATATAACCGCTCATTATTTGGTTGAGTGACTATCTTATCTTCAAGTGACTTATAGAGGTTTTAGAAGAATTACAGAAAAGGTCCTAAAAACTCAAAGCTGTTGATAGATTTTTTTTTTTTTTTTAATGTTGATAAAGGGGCACCTGGGTGGCTCAGTGGGTTAAAGCCTCTGCCTTCAGCTCAGGTCATGATCCCAGCGTCCTGGGATCAAGCCCCACATCGGGCTCTCTGCTCAGCGGGAAACCTGCTTCCCTTCCTTTCTGCCTGCCTCTCTGCCTACTTATGATCTCTGTCTGTCAAATAAATAAATAAAAATCTTTAAAAAAAATAAAAAATAAGAATAAAAAATAAAAAAATACTTTAAAAAAATAAATGTTGATAAAACTTAAGTTTGTTAGTTCTAGGAAACTATTTGGAAATTTTTCCTTTGCTGATATGAAATCAATATGATTAATTTATGTGGATTTGCTCATATTTATGCTTTTAGGTCCTCGTGGCCCTGAAGAATCTTGGGCAAAGTCATTGAAGAGAGATGGGACTGTAGAACTCCACAGCAGAGGAAACACAAAGAAACGAAGTGTAGAGGGAAAAAATGTCCTAAAGCATAACAAACACTTGTTGAAAGAGAGATTTCATCCTACAGATTGTGTCTGCCAATCTGATCCCACTGGAGTGTGCTTTGGTTGTAGGACTAAAACTGAAATACTACAATTATTTCCATGGCAACAGACATGAGATCAGCAGGAAAAGCTAAATTGTGACTTTAAGATGCTCCCCCATTCAGATTTCTGCAGGAAGAAGTGGGAAGGAAGACCAAACAAAAGTTATGAATGTCCTTGGATGAGTTTTCCCCATCCACATAATCAAGTGGAAGCAGTCCTAAACAATACTAAGTCACCCCTAAGAAACAGAATACTGTTTTGAGAGTATGTAGCCAGAAGAAAATGTTAGCAAACAGCAAAGTACAGATGGCTTAATTTAAATCTGCAAGCATCAAAAAGATCATGCTATTTTTTGTATATTTGTTAGTAGTCAAAGTTTTATAATTCTACTTCGGGATCTCCAAAAAGGTATGCATTTCTGAGGTCAAAAAAAAGTAAAGTTTTCTTAAGCTGGTTGGCTTTTTTCTTCCTTCCTTTTTTTTTCTTTCCTCTTCCTTCTTTCCTCCCTCTTTCTCTCTTTCCCTTCCTTCCTTCCTTCCTTCCTCTGGGTTTTCTTGGTCTACTTAATGGAAATACTATATTATTACTGATCCTATGCCCAGTAATTCCTTTTTAGAAGCATATAAAACACAATTTTCTTAACACTGCTTCTAATATGAAAAAACTTACCATTTGTTTATCTGTCAAATAGAATAGTCAGATTTTGAATTAAAATATTTGAAACAGTTTAATACTTTAATACAAACCCAGACCCTGAAAAGGCAAGATATTATTAGCATTTAAGAGAAGAAAACTGTACGTTCTTAATTTTTATGTTCAATTGACATTGTAATGAGAAGTAACCAAGTGAAGACAGATTGCTAAGAGAATTTAAAGATAAAAATATATTGCATTTTGAGGTTAGAACTACTATGAATGTTGGGTACATTGACCTTTCTACAAATGGAATTTTTTTTAAATAATAGTTTAGAGTTTATGTGGATATCCCGTACAGACTTAAATATTTGTTGCGATTAGGCAAGCTTTACAGAACAAAATACCCAATGGTTGATTTTTTGATTGGATAACGAATACCAGTGAGCACAAATATTTTAGTAGTAAAGCTCCACAATCACAGAAATGTATTTTTATGTTCTTCTTATTTCCTCTGCAATAAGGACACTTCCTATAGAGCTAGAATACAACTGTAGGCTTGGGTTGATTAGTGAGGTTAATTGACAAGTACTAGAACAAGAGTGGGATAGGTTGCTGGGGCTAGAGATGGAGACATAATAAAGGTGAATAAAAATGAATGGAAGGTCCTGGGAATATGGAGGGAAAGTAGGGCAAAGGACAAGAGTCTGAGAAGAATAGAAAGCAATCCCCAAAAGAGAAATGGACAATTAAGTGACTTGAGAGATCCGGGCATTGATTCTTATCAAGGATTTAACTGCAGAGAGCAGGAGGTAGTAGAAACTCCATGGGCTATAGAGTCTGGAGAAATGCTAGTTCCAAAGATTATGGAGCCGTTCGTTGGGCTGATAGGGAACTGGGAAGAATTTCTTTAATCTGAATTCGTGGTGATAATCTTGATCTCCAATTAAAAACACATCTGTTACTTTGAAATTGAACATCTGAGAGGCCAGCGCTGGAAAAAGCTTAGGAGAAAAAAGCAATCTGTGTTGCTACTGTCACCACTAATTGGCCTTCAGGTACAGTAAAGCAGTGATACGTACTGCAGAAGATTTAAACTAGGCTAATCGTTAACATTTCCAAAAGCTATCTTAAAAAATAGAGTCCCAGGGGCACCTGGGTGGCTCAGTGGGTTAAAGCCTCTGCCTTCGGCTCAGGTCATGATCTCAGGGTCCTGGGATCGAGTCCCGCATCGAGCTCTCTGCTCAGCAGGGAGCCTGCTTCCTCCTCTCTCTCTCTCTGCCTGCCTCTCTGCCTACTTGTGATCTCTGTCTGCCAGATAAATAAATAAAATCTTTAAAAAAAAAAATAGAGTCCCAAGAACCATTAGGAATCATGGATGATGAAAAGATGGAAGCCAGTTGCTTAAAAATTTGGTTTCACCATTTTGTAAATAGGAGTTTTTCAGCAAGTCACTTAATTTCTCAGAGCCGATGTTTTCTCACCTGTGAAGCGGGGCTAATGGCTGTGGTATAGTGGTAGAATGTGGTAGAATGAGCACTACAGTGCTCTCCTCAAAACCGTTCACGTCTACCTCCTCCATTGGTATGTTTTATTACGTATTGCAGAATCTTACATTATAGCTGAAACAAAACAGAAACCATTCTCTAAAATCTTGACTGAGACTGTAATTTAGCCACTTTAATATAAAACAGGGCTATACATTAGGAATGAGCGACCAAACCACACTATTTGCATTTCGAGGCATTGAATGTCAACAGGACACCAAAAAAAAAAAAAGAGAGAGAGAGATGATGCAGTCTTTTTCTGAGGATGCCCATGTTGTTCTTTGCTTTCTTTCTTTCTTTTTTTTTTTTTTGGTTTTACAACCCATGTTGTTCTGATTGATGGACACAGCGAAACAGACATCTGAGTACGTTCTCTTCCTTGTCAAGTAACCCTGTCTAGCCAAAAACTTACCTCAAACTTTAGGAAGGATGCTGAAACTCCATAAGAAGTCTCTAGGAACCTAGTACATACAGCTGTCGCGTCAGGGTCTGTTCCCTCCCTTGTCAAGTGAACTTGGCTTTGCTAAAAGGCTACCTAACATTCTAGGGAAAAGCATGAGTTGATTAATATTGCTTATGCAATTTTAACCTATAATTTCTCCACTTCTGTCATGAGTTTCCTTCTCATTCAGTATTTTTCAAAAACTATATGTTTGTTTTATTTGATTTATACTTTCGTGCTTAAGGCTACATAACATTTCATTGAATAGCTATGCTATAATATTTAACTAAAACTCTAAAGGGAGATGTTTAGTTTCTCTTTAAGTGTTTATTATTATAAATCAAGTATAATTAACTTTTCTTTTGCATACCTTTGTGTATACCTCTGATTATATCTTTAGAATAAAGCCCTAGAAGTAGAAGTACTGGGCATTCAATATACATTATCAAATTACCTGGCAGAAGCATTCTACCAATTTGTTTCTTTTATGGTACATTGGTATATCATTTTACCATACCCTTGCCATGACTATGACAATACTATTTTTTTTAAATATCTGTGAGTTTTGGGGTGCCTGAGTTGCTCAGTTGGTTAAGCATCTGACTCTTGGTTTCAGCTAGGGTCCTGATATCATGGGTCATGGAACTGAGCCCTATGTCAGGCTCCATGTTAGGCTCCACACTCAGTGGAAGTCTGCTTGGATATTCTCTCCCTCTGCCCCTTCCCCTGCTCATGCTTTCCCTCTCTCTCTAATAAATAAATGTTTAAAAAAATAAAAAATAAAATAAAATAAAATATCTGTGAGTATTTCAGATACTCCATAAGAACAAGGGCTACACACATATAGTATTTACTATATGCCAGCACTGTTCTAGCATCTCACATATATATTAGACTGGATTCTAAAATGGCATCCCTATCCCCTAGTGTGCATGCCTTGTATACCTCTAGGATTGCAAATATGGTGAGATATCAGTCCTATAATTATGTTCACATCACAAGGCAAAGGGATTTTGCATATATACTTAGAGTCCTGTATCAGAGACCTGATAAGAGATGATCTAGGTGGGCCTGACCTAATCACATGAACACTTTAAATCTAGAGGTAAGAAATTAAGGGTGAGATTATGGATTTAAAGTAAGATTCTCTGTAGCTGACTTTGAAGAGGGAAGGGGTGCTATGACATGGCACGTGTGCAGACTCTAGGAGCTCTGAGAGCAGCTCCAGCCCAGCAAGCAGGATACAGGGGCCCCAGTCTACAACCATGAGGAGCTGAATTCTGGCAAAAAGGATGAGCTGGGAGGTAGATTTTTCCTCCACAGAATTACCAGACAAGAACTCAGCCAAACAGACACCTTGGTTTCCACCTTGTGAGATCCTGACCAAGGAACTTAGCCACACAGTGCAGGACTTCTGACCTATATGCTAATAAATGGGCACTGTTTTAAGTTGCTACATTTGTGGTAATTTTGTTATATAGTAATAAAAAACTAGTATATCATCATCTCATTTAATCTTCATCGTGCATATATGAAGTAGGCATTATTAAGGACATTTTCCAAAGAAAAAACAAAGCATAAGAAAGGTGACTAGGCAAAGGTTATAGAGTTAATTAGTCTTTAGAGGAGGCATTCGAATCCAAGCATTTTGGCACTTGGAATCATCCTTTTAATCACCACTTTCTTGACTATTGATGGTATCTTACTGCTCAAAATTGGTTTTCTCTGCATATTTGTGAGTTAGAACTATTTTTTCCCACGTGCATTCTTTCCCTCCTTATTGGGTTTCTGTGTGTTTGTATTGTGTGCATTTATCTAAGTTACTTAACATATTTTTTCTCAATAAAGGATATATTAAGTTTGTGTTTAGAGACATTTTATTATAGCTATTAGGAGCACACTCTGGCTTGGGATTTTTGATATTTTTACATTACGTTTAGAGAAGAAATAGGTCATAAACACTTTTACATCCAAGTGCCTCTTTAGAATTTAAATTGAATTCATTGGGATTCCTTCATACTGTCCATTATGTTCTACTTTTTCTTAATTAATAAATTGCTTTTCTTCTAAAAAAAGATGGATCATAATAATGTGGCTGAGTCCTTACTTGGTACCAGAAACTAAATTCTGTGAATGTGCTATCTCATTTGCACTTATAAATTGACTCTGAAATGAGTATTATTGTTGCTTTATTATCATTGGGCAATATGAAGCTTAGAATATATGTAACTTATGTATTTTGGACATAAGGCTCCTTTGTGACAGCAAATATTTTGAAACATAAGTGCACATGCCACTTTGTAGAAATTTAAAAACAAACCATGGGGGAAAAAAGAGAAATTTAAATTTGTATATATTACTCTTATGAAGAATATGCAATTCATGGAGTAATTTTGGAAATGTTTTTATTTTGGAAACATGGGAACTATTTTCATATTGAAAAAATTATTAAAACATGTTTCGACCTTGGAGTTAGAGATTCTTTGGGAGATTATAGGTATACATCTGTCTTAAAAATGATTAATGTAGCATATACAAAACTTGATCTATAAAATTTTAATGATTGAAGTTTTGTGTTAGAAAGGGAGTCTATGATCAAATAAGTTGAAAATTCTTAATACTATATACCCTTTTTGAAGAATCTCATTGTGTATTAGCCTAATAAAGGCTATACAGAAGTTGGTATTGTTTAAATTTGGTCAAGATTCTTGCAAACTTATTTAAGCATAGCAATTTTTTTTTTAAGATTTTATTTCTTTATTTGACAGAGAGAGAAAGTGAGAGAGGGAACACAAGAAGGGCGAGTGGGAGAGGGAGAAGCAAGCTTCATGCTGAGCAGGGAGCCTGGTGCAGGGCTTGATTCCAGAACACTGGAATCATGACTGGAGCCAAAGGCAGATACTTAACCAGTGAGCCACCCAGGCACCCTATAAGCATAGAATATTTTTTTCATGGAATATTCAATAACATTTCTCAGAACTTTGAAAAATGCTTTACCAGTTTATTATTTTGAAAGTCTTACCACTGTTATCCATTAATGATTCTAGGATTTGTTTTCACCATTATGAAAACAAGGAAAAATACTATCTCATACGATACTAACTTAATTAGCTGATGTCCAATGATCTCATGGCAGTTAATGTGGAAGAGTAGAAAAACTTGCCAATCAAGAATTTTATGGGAGGAGGAGCAAGATGGTGGAGAAGTAGGAGACGTAAATATCACTGGGTCCCAGGAGTTCAGCTAGTTATTTATCAAACCATTCTGAGTACCTACAAACTCAACAGGAGATCAAAGAAAAGAACAGCAATTCTAGGAACAGAAAAGCAACCAATTTCTGGAAGGTAAGACATGCAGATAAGTAAATCTGAAGTGATATATGGGAAGACAGACCACAGGGGGAGGGGCCGGCTCCTGGTAAGAGGTAGAGTAGCAGAGCACAAATTCCAAACTTTTAGAAGTCTGCTCCACTGAGGGATGTCGCTCCAGAGGTTAAGTGGAGGGTAGAGCCCTTGCAGGGACAGTGTGGTCTCAGGTCCCATGGGGTCACAGAAAGACTGGGGGTGCCCGAGTGTGGCAGAGTTGCCAGGTATCAGAGCAGAGAAGCTGGCTACGGAGATGGAGCCAAGGAGTGAGCTCTCAGCTCGGGATTACCTTAAACTGTGATCTGCGGCACAGTTGGGCCAATGCTCTTCGAGCAGAGACCCTACAAACTGTAGATACTGGGAGACCCCCTCCTTCCTTCTCTGGGAGGAACGGTACAGGAGCATGCTGCAGGAATCTGCTAGGTTTGGAGACTCCAAACGGGGCCATGTGCCTGAGATAGAAACACTCAGTCACAGGCCGGGTGAGCTCAGAGCGCAGCCGGAGACCAGGGAGACAGGAGAGATTGACTGCTTTTCTCTGAGGGCACTCTGAGGAGTAGGGTCCCAAGTTCTCGGCTCCTCCCGGCCAGAGATTGGGAGGCCACCATTTTCTTTCCTGTCCTCCAAAGCTATATGTAGCATTCAGGAACAAAAGCTCCCAAGAGCAAAGCCAAGCAGATTACTTAGTCTGGCCCCTGGCAAGGACGGTACAATTCTGCCTCTGGCAAAGACATTTGAGAATCACTGCCACAGTCCCCTCCTGCAGAAGATCAGCAAGAACATCCCGGCAAGACCAAGTTCACTGATCTACGAGAACTACAAAACTTCAGAGCTACAGGGGACAGCATATAGAATTCATGGCTTTTCCCCCCATGATTCTTTAGTCTTTCAACATTAAATATTTTTAATTTGATTTTTTTCTTATTCTATTAATTTTTCTCTTTCCTATTTAAAATGTTTTTAACTACTTTAGCTTATCAATACCTTTTTAAAAATCTTTAACTTTCATTGTTATACTCCTATTCTATCCCTTCATTGTATTTAGCCTTATTTTTTGTATACATATAGATTTTTCTTTCTTTAAAACTTTGGGATACAGTTTCTTCTAACAGATCAAAATATACCCTAAATCTAGCACATGGCTTTGTTCTACATTCCAGCCTAATCACATTCTTTCCTCTTTTTTTTTCCTTTTTCAACCAACTTCTTATCTTATCAATTCCCTTTTTAGAATCTTTTTTAATTGTCATTTTACAATCCTATTTCAT